AAGCCAGTAAGATTTTGTGGTTGTTACTGCAGCAAAACTGATTGATATGAGGGTCTTTGCAATTGCTGAGTCCTCAGTCTGGAATGCCCTTCTCTAGATCTCAATGTAGCTGGCTTCTTACATCATCCTGTTCTCTGTTCAAATATGACCTCTTCGGAGAGGGCGTCCAAAACTATCTGACCTAACATTACCTACCTCCTCTCCCAGCAATACCATTTAGCAAATTTCTCTTTTTAATTTTCCCATGACATTCACCATTAGTCATGTGCATTATTGTGACATTTTGGTCAATGATGGACCACACATCCAATGGTGGTCCCATAAGATCATAATAGCTGTGTAGTAGGCTATACCATCTAGGTTTCTGTAAGTACCTTCTGTGATGTTTGCACAATGATGAAATCATGTAATGACCCATTTCTCAGAAAGTAGCCTCGTCATTAAGCAACACATGATTATATTTGAAACTATTTATTTTCACTAAAATGAAACCTCAGAAAATAGGCACCTGTCTTGTTCAGTGCTGTATCTCCAGTATAGCACAATGATGAAATCATGTAATGACCCATTTCTCAGAAAGTAGCCTCGTCATTAAGCAACATATGATTATATTTGAAACTATTTATTTTCACTAAAATGAAACCTCAGAAAATAGGCACCTGTCTTGTTCAGTGCTGTATCTCCAGTATCTAAAATGGCATATGACAGGCAATGCATTCAAAAACGATTTTGTAAACACATGAATGTAATCCTACCTCTTTTAATTATCTTTATTTTGAATTACTTCAATGTCATACTGCCTGTAATCCATCATTTCCAGTGCTCCAGAGTTATGCACTTAAAACACAGCTAAGGGGATACTGCTATCTTACTCTAATCGTTGGTGATTCTCCTCAATCTATGGAAGGTAACTCAAATCCCAACGTGGCACCCAAGGCCCTTACTCTATTCCAGGCTTCTCTCCTGCAATGCCATCCCCTCACATACAGTGATTCAATAACACAGGACCGCTTGCCATTCTTTAAGTTGCATTCAGTAAGTTTCTGTTTCCCATGATTTTATTCAAATCCTTTCCTCTGTTTGATATGATCTTCTCCATAATCCCCATTATGTAGGCTCAGTAATGACCTCCCAAATGAAATCTACATCCTAATCCCTGGAACCTAGAATATTACCTTATGTGGCAAAGAAAAGGGTCTTTGCAGATATGATAAAATTAAGGATTTGGGGATGAGAAGATATTATGGATTGAATTGTGTGTCCCCAAAGTTTAATGTTTTGAAGGCTTGATACCCACTGTGATAGTGTTAAGATGGTGGGAAATTGTACTGTGGTAGTTGAAAGATGGGCCTTGGAGAGGTGATTGGATTGTGAGTACCATGCCCTAGAAAATGAATTAATCCATTGATGGTTTAACGATGGTCATGGGCATGGTTCTGAGGGCTTTCAAAATAGAGCCAGTGAGGAAGTTAGCTCTCTCTTGCTTCTGCTTTTCTCACAATGTGATACCCTGCATTGCTGAAGACACCACAAAAGAAGGCCCTCACCAAATGTGTTCCCTGGACTTTGGACTTACCAGCCTCTGAACCTGTAAGCAATAAATATTGTTTCTTTATAAATTATCCAGTTTCCGGTATTTCTGTTATGTGTAACAGAAATGGACTAAAATAGATTATTTTGGACTATCCAGGTGGGCACTAAAAGTTATCAGAGGTGACCTTATAAGAAGGAGACAGAGGGAGATTTGACACACACAGAGGAGAAGGCCATGTGAAGATAAAACAGAGAAATTTGAAGATGCCAGCCTTAAAATTTAGAGTGATGTGGCCACAAGCCACAGAATGTTGGCAGCCACCAGGATCAGGAAGAGGCAAGGAACGAATTCTCACATAGAGCCTCTGGAGGTAGCATGACCTGGCCAACACCTTGATTTTGGCTCAGTGATACTCATTTTGGACTCTGGCCTTCAGAATTGTGAGAGAATAAATTTCTGTTGTTTTAAGCCATGAAGTTTGTGGCAATTTGTTACAGCAGCCACAGGAAACTAATACATCCACCTATTTAAATACAATTCACCTAACAAGATAGTTATACCTTAGACTGAACCTCTTAGAAGTGTTTTCAGATTCCACGTTATGATTAATTTTTTCTTCTCCTAGTCTCCCCTAGAGCTCTCTCTTACTTATCACAATTTATATGGCTATGAGCATATGTGTCCATTTTCAGCTTTTCTTTCAGAATCTGAACTTTGTCTTATTTCTTTTATCTTTCAGATTACCTAGAAAAAAAAGTATATGCATATATATACATATATATGTTCTGTATTTATATCAATATATTAAATTCTCTGTAAATCTTTATGTCAATACATTAGATTCTCAGTAAATATCTATGTCATTATAGTGACATTAGGTTCTCTGTAAAATACATTTATTGAATTAACAATAGATTTGCCTAGTGACATACAGCATAGTGACTAAAGACATTAACAGTGAGACTAAAGAAAGTTACTAAACCCCTCCGAATCTACATTTCCTTATCAGTAAATGGGAGATAAAAACAGTACTTACAACATAGAACAGTCATAATTATTAAATGAGATAATGTCATGTAAAGCACTTAGTGCAGTGAGTGGCACATGATGAACACTCAAAAAATGTTATGTATTATTCTTCCTTGACTTTAAGAGAATCTATAAAATCTATTATGATATCATTGAGTGGGCTTAAATATCTGTTAAAAAGTTGCCAGGTGAGCCAAGGAATGGGAGAAAATACTAACATTACATATATCTTACAAAGGACTTCTATACAGAATATATAAACAACTTTTATAACTCAGTAAGACAAACAACTCAATTTAAATGGGTGAAAGATATGACAACCCTTTAAAGAAGCTATACAAATGGGCACAGAGCACATTAAAAGTTGCTCAATATCATAAGACATCAGGGAAATGCAAATTAAAAACACAATGAGATAGCACTAGATATACATCAGAATGGCTAAAACTGTGGATAGTGAGTGTTGGCAGGGATGCAGGGCAGCTGGAATTCTATACAGCCTTGGTGGGAATTTAAAATGATACAACCATTTTCAAAAGCTATTTGTCAGTTCTTAAAATTAAATATAAATCTACCACACTACCCAACCATGCCACTGTTAGGTATTTACTCAAGAGAAATGAAAACCTATGTTCACATAAAAGCTGGTACATAAACAGTCATAACAGCCTTATTCACAGCTGTTATTCCAGCTCCAAACTGGAAATAATCCAAAGATTCATCAACAGGTGAATAGAAAAACAAATGATGTTATGTTCATACAGGGCACTTCAAAAAGTTTGTGGAAAAATAGAATTAAAAGATACTAAGAATCTTTCCATTAACTTTTCGAAGACCCCTCATATAATGGGATACCACCGAACAATAAAAAGGAATGAACACCTGATATATCACAACATGGGTGAATTTAAAAATCATTACATATATGAAAGAAACCTGAAACAAAAGAATACATATTATACAATCCCATTTATATAAAAGTTTTTAAGAAGGCAAACTAGCGGACAGCCAGTTAGCTCAGTTGGTTGGAGCACGGCCTTGTAACACCAGGGTCAAGGGTTCAGATTCCTGTACTTGCCAGCCACCAAAAAACAAAACAAACAAACAAATAAATTTTTTTAAAAAGGCAAACTAGGGCCGGCCCGGTGGCGCACTGCTACAGTGCGCCGCTTGGGAGCGCAGCGGCACTCCCACCGAGGGTTCGGATCCCACATACAGACCGGTTCCCGCTCACTGGCTGAGCGAGGTGCGGGCGCAGCACCAAGGGTTGCGATCCCGTTGCCGGTCCCGGTCCGGTATGGGCGCGACACTGAGGGTTGCGATCCGTTGCCGGACATGAAAAAAGACAAAAAAAAAGGAAAAAAAAAAAAAAAGGCTTTTTATGTTTCAGTTGACTGGATCAAGTTCCTAAACAAGGTCCATGCATTGTATTTGGTGGCTATGGTTCTTAAACCACTTTCCATCCCAGAGCAATCCCTCTGAAACACCCTCTCTTGCTTTGTTCCCATGCCACTGACTTATACAAGAAACTGGGTCTGTTATCTGTCCTGTGGTGTGACTGACATTCTGGATTTGTCTGTTTGCTTTTCTATGATGACACTTCACCTGTTTCTCAATCTGGCAGATGGCAGACTGGAAGCCAGAACCTGTACTTTTAGTCACTATAATATCCTTTCTTGAGTAGAAAGAACATGCCCTTTAGCATGCCAGAGCTAGACAGAGGAGTGTCGTACTTATAAGCTGCATGACCTTGGGCATGACCTCATTTGTAAAATAGGAATATAACAATTCATAACTTGAAAGCTTTTGTGAAGATAAAATGAAGTAATGACTATATAATGCCTGCCTTGGATTGAATGTCCCCCCAAAATTGATCCCCACTGTAACTGCTGAGGGTGGGAAATTCTATTATGGTAAGTGAAAGGTGGGGCATTGAAGAGGTGTTTAGATTGTGAGGACTGAATCCTCATGAATGGATGGATCCATTCCTAGAAAAATGGGTGTGGTTCTGATGGCTTTAAAAGGAGAGTGAATGAGGTGGTTAGTTTCTCTCTCTACTCAGCCATTCTGCCATGGGAGACCCCTGCATCACTATAACCACCAACTACCAGATGTGTTCTCTGTACTTTGGACTTTCCAGCCTCCGAAATTCTAAGCAATAAATTTTGTTTTCTTACAAATTACCCAGTTCCGGGCATTTTGTTATAAGCAACAGACATGGACTAATAAAATTCCCAACACAGTGCCTGATCCATAGACAGGTAAGCAGTTGCTCAGTGAATATCAGTTCTAGTCAGTGACAAGAGATGCCTTCGGCTTATATAACAGAAATATTCATTCCAATAAAATACTTATAAAAAATACCCGGAAAATTGCATTTTTTAGACTTCATAGAATATGTATCATAATTTATCTGTAAGTGATAAGCAATACCTACAGGAGAAGAAGAGAATTTGAGGATTTTTGTAGAATAAATTGTCTTCAGGAATCTTGCTCTAGTGCTAATGGTGCAGAGTCTCCTCTGGGCCAAAAACATGCTACAGGACAAAGAAAAATTGAAAAGGGGAGTAAATATATGATAGTTATATCACTATCAGACTCTTATCAGCTAGCTGATAGACCATAAGCTTATATAAAATATAAATAAAAAAAATTTTTTTTTTTTTTTTTATATTTTATATAAGCTTATGGTCTATCAGCTAGCTGATAGACCATAAGCTTATATAAAATATAAATAAAAAAAATTTTTTTTTTTATTTTTTTTTTAAGCTTATGGTCTATCAGCTAGCTGATAGACCATAAGCTTATATAAAATATAAATAAAAAAAATTTTTTTTTTTATTTTTTTTTTAAGCTTATGGTCTATCAGCTAGCTGATAGACCATAAGCTTATATAAAATATAAATAAAAAAAATTTTTTTTTTTTTTTAAAAATGCCCGGAAAGGGGTTTTTAACCTTTACTTTGGTGTTGTCAGCACCACGCTCAGCCAGTGAGCAAACCGGCCATCCCTATATGGGATCCAAACCCGGGGCCTTGGTGTTATCAGCACCGCACTCTCCCGAGTGAGCCACGGGCTGGCCCCTAAATAAAAATTTTTAATAACTCAGCTTGCTTGCTTGCTTCCTTCCTTCCCTTCAAGTTTCTGTCTATGATATACTCTCTCAAGCACTGGAATCATTCTAATAAACTTATTCCTCCTTATCTTATACAAATTTATACTTTGTTTTAAACTAGACATCTGTAAGGATATTCTGAATTCAAAAAATAAGGCTTTAATTTAGGCAGGCACATTAAATTTCAGTAAGTAAACATTCCATTTCTAGAAGCTATAAAATCCAGAATATTCTAATCTAAGAACTATTCAGATTTCAGAATCATCTGGATATCAGGCACTACTTAAAATACAACTTGTAACAGTAAATTAAAGCTGTTGGAAACAGGTTATTCAGAAAGTTGTTTGAAAAGATAGATGACAGTAGGTCCTTGATAAATATAAAGAAAATATCGGTGAATGTCAGGTTATTTTCTCAGATGGTACTTCCCTCAACAATTGCATGGACAGCTAGCAAGCCATTTCAGTTGCATAACTCGCATGCATTCTGAATTGCTTCTCCACCTGTAAGGAAGTTATCCAATATCGGTAAATGGAGGGAGATCTAGACAATGAACTCCATTATTATACTTACTTTTAGAAGTGGAAAGAAAACCTAGCTTTCAGAAAACATTCAGGCAAACAGAAACATCTCATAAGGTTTTACTACAAAAATGTTGTTCTCCCAAGTCTATGAGATGGCATTTCCTCCATCTCTAACAATTATCTAATCTTAGAAAAAGAGACATAAACTATGAATTCAAAGGGACCACTGAAGCTAGCTATGAATTTCTTTAAGTTACTAAGATGTTAAGGCTACAGAAAGCTTTGGCTATGAAAAATAATCTAATAAATGTTTCTCATAAAGTCCTGACCTTGTCAGTAAAAGCTTAAATGATTATTCCTCAAAAAGGCTTTCTCTGGCTACACAATTGATAACAGCCCATTTAGCCATTCTACATCACATCAGCCTATTATTTATTGTCCCCAAAGCATTTTTGTTTGTGGGTTTGTTTGTTAATTTGGCTGGTCACTCATTCATTCATTCGGTAATTTATAACATAAGCTCTATAAGCAGGGTCCTGGTGTGTGAAGTTTACCACTATATTCTCTGACACATAGTAGGAACTCAATAAATAATTTTTGAATGGCTAAATGAATATATAGTCATATTATAAATTAATGATTTAAGTAGGATATTTATGAGAAGAATCCTTTTATAAAATATTGACTCTTTTGCAAGTAAAGAATTATCCCTTACGTCTTATGCATTTCAATTTTTAAAACGAGGTTTTCTTAAATCAAGACATGCATATTCCTGCGTCACTAAATGTTCTATTCAGGAATAAAATATTAACTGGGTTAGGCAGTAGGGATAGTTTTAAGGGACGGTATTACCAAATAGGAACTATATCGAATAATCTTCAGTATCATAGAGTATTTTGATTTAGGAAAATATTTTTTTCAGCAAATAAATGTCTATTTATTTAAGTTCAGCATGATTTCTTAGATATTTGAACAAAGTCTAAGCAAAATGCTTTCTTGCAAGTAGACAAATAAGAGAAACCTATTCTCCATCTTGAGATAAACTGGGATTTAAAAATACTTCAGATAAATTTGATATTAAAAAACGTTTCTATTTTTTTTTGTCTTTTTGTGTTTTTTTCCATGTCCGGCAACGGATCGCAACCCTCAGTGTTGCCCCCGTACCGGACCGGGGACCGGCAATGGGATTGCAAACCTCGGTGTTGCTCCCGCGCCTCGCTCAGCCAGTGAGCGGGAACCGGTCTGTATGTGGGATCCGAACCCTTGGGCGGGAGCGCCGCCGCGCTTCCCAAGCGGCGCACTATCCAGTGCGCCACCGGGCCGGCCCGAAACATTTCTATTTTTGAACAAGTCACTGACTCTTGATGAGCTTTAGTTTCCTCATTTTTCAAAACAGATGAATAAATGAATCCTTGGTTTGAATGTAATTGCAGAAGACACTGTTAAGTCACTGGTTGGTCACCTGTGAACTTAGACTGTAGTTCTTGGGAGATTTCACCCCAGGCTAAGTGAACCATGACCACTATTCACCAGGTTTCAGTGCCCATCTTCCTTAGAGAGTTGACATTAAATCTATCTGTTTTCATCTAGAAATCCCAAAGCCTAAATCCCCCATCTCTTTCCCCTATCTGTCTTCTACAACACATTACTTCCACAATACAATGAACTTCCTGGAGACTGACCCAGCTCTTCATTTCTCTTCTCCCCAAACTTTCCACTGTCTTTTGGAACAGCTTCACCACAATCAGCAAATTCCATTATATCTTCATGTTCTCAGAGTGTTCCCAGTGTTCCTTGCTTTAACTCAAATCTTGCTATTCACTGAAGATGGTAATTCTATATTCCTTAGTACTAACTTTTGTCCTTATATGCTCCACCTAGCTTTCTTTATTTTCCTTCCTTCTTTCTTTTTTTTGCATTACCTCACATACTTATCAGTTATTTGTAGTGAGAACACTTAAAATTTACTCTGTTAGCAATTTTCTTTTTCTTTTTTCTCTTTTTTTTTAGATGACCGGTAAGGGGATCTTAACCCTTGGCTTGGTGTTGTCAGCACCACGCTCAGCGAGTGAGCAAACCGGCCATTCCTATATAGGATCCGAACCCATGGCCTTGGTTTTATCAGCACCACACTCTCCCGAGTGAGCCACGGGCTGGCCCGTGTTAGCAATTTTCAAGTATACAATACATTGTTATTAACTATAGTCACTGCTGTGGATTGATTGAATTGTGTCCCCCAGAGTTCATATCTTAGAAGCTTAATTCCCAATGTAACTGTTGAGGGTAGGAAATCCTATTATGGTAATTGAATGGTGGGGTCTTGAAAAGGTGACTGGACTGTAGAACTGTATCCTGGTGAATGGATTCATCCATTCTTAGAATGATGGGGGTGGGTTGGTGGCTTTAAAAAGAGAGCTCATGAGAGGTTAGTCTCTCTGTCTCTGCTCTACCATATTCTCCATGTGATACCAAGTTGCTGTAGTCACCACCAGGACAAGATCCTCACCAAATGTGTTCTCTAGACTTTAATGTAGTGGATTAAATTATGTCCCCCCCAAACTCCCTGAAGCTTTAATTGTGTCCCCCAAGTTTTATGTATTAGAAACTTAGCCCCCACTTTGACTGTTAAGAGGGTAGGAAATCCTATTATGGAAATTGAAAGGTGAAGCCTTAAAGAAGTGATTAGATTGTAGGACCATGCAGTAGTGAATGGATTAAAATGGTGGTCAGGGGTGTGGTTCTGAGGGCTTTAAAAGAAGAGAGTCTGTCTTTTGCTCTCTCTGTTTCCACCATCTTGCAATGTGAGACCCCTGGGTTGCTGTCGCCACAACCAGATGGACTTTGGACTTCCCAGTCTCAGAAACTGTAAGCAATAAATTTCATTTTCTTTATAAATCACCCAGTTCAGTGTACTTTGTGATAAGGAACAAAAACAGAATAATACAACTTTGTACTTCCCAGCCTCTGAAACTGTAAACAATAAATTTTGTTTTCTTAGAAGTTACCCAGTTCCAGGTATTTTGTTATAAATAATAGAAACAGACTAAGACAGAAAATTGGTACCAGAAAAGTGGGGCATTGCTTATAACAAATACTTGAAAATGTAGAAGTGGTTTTGGAATTGAGTGTTGAGGAGAAACTGGAAGAATTTGAAGGAGCAGGCTAGAAAAAGCCTAGCTGCGGGCGGGAGTTTAGAAGACAAAACCAGGCGAAGTTTGGAACTTCTTAGAGACTGGTTAAATAGTGGCAACCAGAATGCTAATGGAAACATGGACTGTAAAGACCATTCTAAGGAGGTCTCAGATAGAAATAAGAAGGAGTTTATTGGAAACTAGGGTAAGGATCATCCTTGCTATGAACTGGCAAACAACTTGGCTGCATTCTGTTCATGCTCCAAAGTTTTATGGAATGTGGAACTTCAAGGTGCTGACCCAGAGTATTTGGCAGAAGAAATTTCTAAGCAGCAAAGCATTCAGGAAGCTGCATGGCTACTTGAAACAGCCTATTCTGAGTTATGGCAGAGAAGGCATGAAGTAAAGCCAGAATTTATAATTCAAAAGAAAGCAGAGGGCAAAATATTGGAAAACTTTCAACCTGGACACAAAAGTAAGGGTGTAGCCCTTTGCTAAAGAGATGAGTACAGAAGAAAGGGATTATCAAGAGAAGGGGAAAAGGACATTGAAGGTATTTCATAGACCTTGGAGGATGCATTTTCCATCACAGACCCAGAGGCCTAAGGAGAGAGAATGGTCTTGGGGAAAAAGGCTCGCTGTCCAGGGCCACATCGGGATGCTGCTCCCCATACCAGCATCCTAGCTGCTTTGGCTGCTCCAGCTGTGACTAAATTGGCCCCAGGTGTAGCTGGACCTGCAGCTTTGAAAGCCTCAAGCTAGAAGCCTTGGTGGCATCCACATGGAGTTAGGTCTGTAAGCTCACAGAATGCCAGAGCTTTGGAGGCTTAGCAGCCTCGACCCCAGTTTCAAATTATGTATGGAAAAGCCTCTATGAATGGATGGAGTCACAATAAACAGCCTTACCTAGAGCAATGCTGAAAGGAAACGTGGGGTAGAATTCACAGCAGAGAAATCCCACCAACGCCATGCCTAGTGGAGCTGTGAAAGCAGAATCATCATGGAGCCCCCAGAACTGTGGCGCTACCAGTGTGCAGCACCAGACCGGGAGAGTTAAAGCATTGTCGGAGATCAGGAAAGCCATAGAAGCAAAGCTGCCCAAGGACTTGGGATCACAACCTCTGCACCAGTGTGCAGAGGACATCAAACATGGAGTCAAGGTACATGATTTGTCAGCTTTTAGATGTAATGCCTGCCCTGCTGGGTTTTGGACTTGTTTGGGACCTGTTACCCCTTTCTTTTGGTCTATTTCTTCCTTTCTGAATGGGAATATGTACCTTATGCTTGTTCCACTCTACCTTGGAAGTAGATAACTTGTTTTGATTTCATAGATGGGACTTTTGAGCTGAAACAAGTTAAGACTATGGGGATGGAATAAATGTATTTACCTGTGAGAAGGGCATGAACTTTGGGGGTGAGGGGTGGAATGCTGTGGATTGATTGTGTCTTCCCAGAGTTCATATATTAGAAGCTTAATTCCCACTTTAACTGTAGAGGGTGGGAAATCCTAGTATGGTAATTGAAAGGTGGGGCCTTGAAGAGGTGATTAGATTGTAGGACCATGCTATAGTGAATAGATTAATAATGGTGGTCAGGGGCATGGTTCTGAGGGCTTTAAAAGGAGAGCACATGAGTAGTTTGCTATCTCCTCCCCCATTTCTGTCATGTGACACCCCCTGGGTCACTGTCACCAGCACTAAGACCTTCACCAGATGTGTTCCCTGGACTTCCCAGTCTTGGAAACTGTAAGCAATAGATTTTGGTTTTTTTATAAGATATCCAGTTCTATGTATTTTTTTTTTTTTAAAAAAGATGACCAGCCGGCCCGGTGGCGCACTGCTACAGTGCGCTGCTTGGGAGTGCAGCGGCGCTCCCACCGAGGGTTCGGATCCCACATACAGACCGGTTCCCGCTCACTGGCTGAGCGAGGTGCGGGCGCAGCACCGAGGGTTGCGATCCCGTTGCCGGTCTCGGTCCGGTACGGGCGCGACACTGAGGGTTGCGATCCATTGCCGGACACGAAGGGTTGCGATCCCGTTGCCGGTCCCGGTCCGGTACGGGCGCGACACTGAGGGTTGCGATCCATTGCCGGACACGAAAAAAGACAAAAAAAAAGGAAAAAAGGAAAAAAAAAAAAAAAAGATGACCGGTAAGGGGATCTCAACCCTTGGCCTGGTGTTGTCAGCACCATGCTCAGCCAGTGAGCAAACCGGCCATCCCTATATAGGATCTGAACCCGTGGCCTTGGTGTTATCAGCACTGCACTCTACCGAGTGAGCCACGGGCCAGCCTCTGTATTTTGTTATAAGCAACATAAATGGACTAATACAGTCACCATGTCGTAACATTTACCTCTTCTTGCTATTTCACCATTGCCAGACTATTGCTTCCCTTCTCTGCCTGATAATTCCCTGCCATTCATCAAGGATTTGTCATTAGGTGTCAAACAGTTTTCTTCTCAATCCCAAGTCCTGTGATCACCCTAGCTAACTGCAATGTCTTTAGAGATGATCCATCAAGCAACTGACGCCCCCATGTCCAATCCCCTTGTCCTCCATCCCACCATAGTCACTCTCTCCTACCCTGTACCTTGCCATTACCCTAATCTATCTAACTCCAAAATAATTAAAGCATTCTGCTCTTTTGGCCATAAACTACCTATCCTTTCAATTTGATTAATTATTCCAACAATCAGTATTCTTCAGTATCATCATCTATAGGAGGCTGCCTCTCCTTTTCCCAATCACGCTCACCTTCCTTTATTTTCCAGATTTGACGAAAGTTCCAGCACTTCAATAATGTTCTTGACAATGCCCTAGCCCTTCTCAAGTCTCTTCCACTTAAAAAACAACAACAAACCACACAAATCAACAGAAAGTAAAACTCTTGACTCTACCTTCTCCTCCCTGTTGCTCATTTTACTAGCTATCTCTTTCTTCACTCTACACTCCACAACCAGGTACAGCCTGACTTTTGCCCCCATTACTTCATATAAGCAGCTCTTGCTAAAGTCAGTTTTGACCTTCGGATTGTTAAATCCATCAAACATTTGGCAGTTCTCACTTTCCTTGAGCTTTCTGCAGCTTTAGATACTGCTGGTGAGGCCCTGTCTCCTCCCAGAAACACTGTGCTCCCTTGGCTTTTGACATATTACAATTCTTCATTTTCCTCTTACCTTTCCCCCAACCAGCCATTAAATGATGGAATTCCTTAAAACCCAGACTAGGCTCTTTTTTCTTCTCACTCATTACTTTCTCACTAGGTAATATCATTGTAGGAGGAATTGTGGGAGCATCAGTGAAGAAATGGCTCCCAAGAAATCTAAGCAGGCTGACAGATGCAGATTCAGAAACTTTGAAGCAAGCCATTTTTCTTCTACACTTTAAACGAACACATTTGGAGCAGCATTTGCTAATGCAATGAACATTGCATATGCATATTTGCTAATAAGACAAATAAATTAATTAGTAAATCTGGAAGTCATAGAAAAGTTGGAGAAAATCAAAAAATGTATGGCTTTTAACTCTAAATGGTATTTTCACTATATTTTTCTAGTTTCTTCCTAAAAACAATGTTTTGAGAAGAAAACTGGGCAAATTGTGAATTAGAGTGATCCTAGCTGATTCAGTTATAGCATATTATTCACAGAGTACACTCTATATTCAAATACACATGATCTATAGAAAATTAAAGTATTTATTCTCATTGGAGTAGGCTTTTTAAAATGAAGATACAGAAGGTATACTTGGCAGATTTTTGAGTGACCTGAAGCTAAGCAGGCTGGTGAAAATCCAGAGCTAAAAGGTAGGCAAAACAGTAAAAAAATAAAAATAAAAAAATAAAAAATAAAAAATGTTAAAAGTTTAAAGCTCTGCACTTAAATCAAATTATCAGCCTATAAACATTTTGTATATGGAGAGAAGAGGTAGGAAGAGATTTAGTTAATCTGACAAAGTCCAGACGTTTGGGTTAAGTGCAAGCTCAAGGAAGATTAGAGGCAATTGCAAAAAGTGCTAGTGCTAGTAATGCACAGTCCTCACTGTTACTAGAATCTTACGGTGGGGGGTGGGGCAGATTATTTTCACTTCATGCTGTACTTGTCAGTCTGCTTCTAGAATGTTTTATAAGATTCACTGACTCAACAGAGGGCATCTATCTAGGAGGTGAAAGGTACTGTACTGGTTGGGGAAGTACGAGTGGGCAAGATAAGCCTCAGAGCCATGTCATCAGAGGAAGAGTGGAAAAAAATTAGCCAAAGTTTAGTCAGCACAAGATTCAAGGTGACACAATCCTGAAATTGTAGAAAAACTGCCCTGTGAAAATGGGTTACGTGTAATCATAAATTTCTCCAGACGGAAGAAGTACAGCTGACCTGTTGAAGTTAGCAGGAACTAGATTTTAGCACACAAGGCAAAACTTTCTGTTGATCTGCAACGAGTGCCTGGTGTGGAGGTGAGCAAGCTGACCCAACTCTCCCCTCAGGTAGCAGAGGAGGAGGAGGCCATATTGGGTGAAGGGTTTCTGCAGTGGCTGGGGGCTCCGACTTATGCGGCTGCTCCGACTCCAAAAGCAACAGACTGGACAGCATTTCTTTTAACTAAAAACTCTGGCTTCCACTAAGATTCACTTATATATCATGTTAACAGCTGTTGTTTCCTTTTTAAAAATTTAGAATTTGGTTATGGATGAACTGGAGTAGGTGTTTATCTTGCCCAGACTATTTTCTAAATGGCCAAATCGCAAAATCAAGAGCAAAAGGGGCAAGATGATGACCCGGGCCCAGGGGTTGCCCCCTAGGAGGCCAGTCACCTCGGTGCCCCTCGCTCTCCGGAGGAAAGTGTGTTAATTCCAGGACGGAACCTCTGCGGCCACCCCCGCGGACCTCCAGGTCGGAAATCCAGCCCGGGTCTTCCGCCGAGCCCCGCCACGCTCGTGCCGGCTCCCGCAAGCGCAGCCCCGCGGACCTCCCTCCGCGGCCTCGCGCCACACGCCTCCGCACGCCGCGACCCTCCGCATCGGTCCGCACGCACGGAAGGGCCGCGCCTCGCGCCCCTCTTACCTCCTTCGCACCTCAACCTGGTTTCCACGGGCTCGAGTCCCGCCTGGAGTTGGGGGCCTGGTTGGGCGGGATTCGGACGCGTGGGCGGAGCCTGGAGCCTGGGCGGGGATTGACTGGCGTCGGGACTCAGGGCGCGATTGGCTGTGGGCTCTGCCGGGATCGCGGCCTGGAAGGGAAGGGAGGAGCGGGTGTGGGGCTGGAGGGCGCAGGCAGGAGCGAGTAAGGCGGCGGGATGGAGCCGGGCGGGGATGTGGCCGGGGATTGGCTATGGGGTCTGGACTCGGAGCTCGCGCGGCTGCGGGTTCCGCCCGGATCGCTGCCTGGACCTGGCCGGTGGAGACGCGGGGTTGGTGGGAGAGGGGCGGGGTGGGGCGGGCACTGGGACATGGGTGAGGATTGGGCAGGAAATTTAGGCCCAGGGCTCGGATTGGGCGTGTGTGACGGTTATAGGACAAAGACTGGTTTGGAAGGATGAGCAAGCTATGGGATCGCTGGGCTTGGACACGGAGAGTGTTCCGGACAGAATAACTTAGGAAGGTGCCTGAGAAAGGGCAAGGCTAAGTTAAGAGAATGTGAAAAAAAAAAGGTTTGCAGATGTATTTGTCACGCTGATGGGCATGAGGGGAAGAAAAGTCGAGAGGACCCTTACCTTACTTTCCTGAACAGTAAAATGAACTTGTTCAGAGAACTGAGGACTGAGAATGAAAGGGGGATGTGAGACAGAAGGAGGAAGAGAAATGACACTTTGAAGAGTGAAGAAGAAAAACCGGCTAGGAGAAAAAGGAGAAACACCGTGGATGACCCCTTCGGGGAGGCGGTGTTAGCGAAAGGAACGTTTCTGTTAAGAATCGAGTTTTATGTTTAGATGAGAAGATAGAGGGAACGTGAGTAGCGTTCGCATTGTTATTCAGGCCTGCAGGAAAGAACAAAAATAATCTTTGGTTGCAGGAGTATACTCTTCAGCTAGGTACGAGGAGATTCAGAAGACTGTTAGGTGCGTGGAGAAATTGTGTACGGTAGACAAGCTACCCCTAGACTGGGAGCTATTGTGAGAAGCATTCATTTGTGGATGCTCTCCAGTCAAAAGACCACCGGGAACACACCTGTGGTCGGAAAGTTGGGTTTATTATTTGCTGCGATGAGGGAGTACACACACTATGGGGAAGTGTAGAGGATTCATAAAGCAAATGTACCTCATAGGGCCTAGTGTTCCAAAGCCTTGCAATTTCAAATATTAACCTTACAAAAAACAGGAGATTTTCCCCTGGCTATTTAGCCTGTGTTGCAAGATAAGAATTGTAGCACAACAAGGCTGCTGGTTCAAGGACAGATAGGTTACTGATTGACATATAAAGTTACTAAGAAGCTGCTGGAGGGAGAAGGAATGTTTGCTAGATCAAGCTTTTGTTAGCGGATCACTCAATTGCCTTAACAGAATGTCATCTGACTTATTTTTACTGAATGTTACCAGCTTCTATTGTAAAACTCGTTAAACTGTACTTAGCAACCCCCCACCTATGTCTCTTCCTGTAACTTCTTGATCTGGAGAATAAATGCAGGAAGAGCACCCCAAATCGTGGTTAATTTCCCAAGTGGAAGGATGCCTCCGTCTTGAGGATTCTGGGACATTAACCCCTTTTTGAGGCTTCTCACTGCTCAGAAGAGATGGGCTTTGAGTAATCTTTGGCGGCTCCGTCAACCAGGGGAAAAGGGGTGACAAATCCGTGGAAGGCAGAGCAACAGGGAACCGTGGGTGATTTTAGTTCAGGGTGTTAGAAATAACTTATAAAATTTGGGCTTGTATTGGGTAATTTTTGGGAAAAGTTTGAGGAAGTGGAGGTTTGATCTACAAATTTCAGCAAAGTGCATGGGTGCATGGTAAAAAGACTGCATTTCCAGGCTCTGTTATAGCTAGGCTGGATATAGGACCAAATTCTGGCCAGTGTGATGTAAGTGGAAGCTGTACATGCAGCTTATACGAAATGTCTTAAAGGGGTAGTAACCCCTCCCCACTCCTTTGGATTGTGGTTCCCCTACCAGTTGAGTGCAGTCTTGATGGCTGCAGCCCCCTTGGACCACCACGTGGAATCTGCAGGTTGGATATGGTATGAGCAATAGAATGAAAGGAGTAACCTGAGTCCTGACATCACAGAGCCACCTCTCCAGTCCTGGACCCGTTATCTATGCTTACATGAGAGAGAAATCAATTTCAATTTTGTTTAACTCTTTTATATTTGTTTCCTGGTATGCAGTCATAATACGCCTTTGATAGTTTACTGACTGTTCTAGTTTGTTATCACCTTTTTAAATTCTGCTGGTGCTGTGATAAAGAAAAAAGACAGACCCTGCCTGCTGGAGCTTATATTCTAGCAGGGGAGATAGGCAATACATTTGAACAAACTCAGGTCATATAAAGTAGTGATAAAATATTGTGAAAAAAATAAAAATGCTGGCCAGTAGATGAAGCTCTCTGCTTCCATAATTTCTTTCATGTACTCAGTCCACTCTACTGGGTAGGGATGCTGAATGCATGAGGCATTGTTGTACTTGGGTTAAGGTGACAGATTCTGTCTCTTCGTGTCCCTCTCTTCCTAATTTGGATTTCTTTTTTATCTACTAATTGACTGATGAAGGGAAATAGAGTTAAGACATACCAGAGATGTGTGAGAGCTATCTTGGTGTAGGGGGATTAGACCAACTCTTTCCTAAATCAGATATCCTCTTTCTTCAGTTTCCTGGATATTTAACTTTCTGTATTTATTTGTTTAATATCCGTATTCATTACTAGACTGTTGATCCTGAAGAGAGGGCTCGCAACTATGTTTCCAGTCTTTGGCAGAGTACCTTGTAGATACTCACACATCTTTTGAATGAGTGAAACTGTCTAGCCTAAGCAATTGCTATTTTCTGTATAGTCCCACATAACTTCCTAGGGGGTCTATTTTGGAGTTAGGTTGGAAAAATAATCTCTGTAATAAAAAATGGGAGAGTGTGCCTGTCTTGTCTTCTATGGCTTCCTCTCTGTCCAGGATCTCCCAGTGGGTGGGGAGAGTGGGATGTGTATGTGCCTGGTAGGCATAGTAGTTGACATTTTGAGTTCTGGCCCATATTTTTCCTCTTTCTATTTGGATAGAAGCCTAATACACAACACAACATATTTTTAGTGCCCGCCGGAACCTAACTAATGTGAGGCATATGTCTTTGTTAGAGCTAACTGTTGATAGAGGGTCTTGGAACTTCTCTGCAGTGGGTATAAGTTACTTCATATGAACTATTAGGGTGGTAGAATCTAAGGAGATTCATGGATTGTGATCTATCCTGACAATCTCTTGGTCTTAGAATGGTTTTTAGCCTAGAGATCCTGTGCATGTTTTGTAAGATTTATAACTAAGCATTCCATCTTTTTCCTAGCTATTGTAAATGGTATTGTTTTTTAAATTTTGGTTTCAGTTGTTCATTACTTATGTATAGAAACAGTTGAAGATTGATTTTTGTGTTGACCTTGTTATCTTTTGACCTTATTAAACTCACATATTAGTTCTAGGAGTTTTTTTGTAGATTCCCTGGGATTTTATATATAGACAGTTATGTTGTCTGCAAACAAGGACAGTTGTATTTTATCCTTTCTGATCTATATGCCTTTTACATACTTTTCTTACCATGTTATTCTAAGTCTTTCAGTGTAATGTTGAATAAGAGTGTTGAGAGCGGAATCCTTGCATTGTTCCTGGATCTGAGGGGTAAAACATTCAAGCTTTCATCAAATGTGATGTTAACTCTGTGTTTTTTGTAGATGCCCTTTATCAGCTTGAAGAAGTTCATTTCTACTACTAGTTTGCTGGGAGTTTTATTATGAATGGGAGTCATATTTCATCATGCTTTTTCTGTATCTGTTTATATAATCATGCAGTTCTTCTTTAGACTTTTAGTGTGGTGAATTACATTAAGTGATTTTTGAACCAACCTTGCATTTCCAGGATAGATACCATTTGATTGAGGTGCATCATTCTTGTATATTGCAGGGTTTGATTTGCTAATATTTTCATAAGGGATAATGATCTGTAATTTCCTTTTTTTATACTGTCCTTGTCTGATTTTGGTGTCAGGATCATGTTGTCCGCATAGAATGGATTATGAACTGTTCCCTCCTCTTGTATTTTTTGAAAGAAATTGTGTAGAATAGGTATATTGGTATATTCTTTAAATGCTTAGTAAATTTTGCCAGTCAGGAGAAGCTATCTAGATCTGGAGAATTGTTTTTCAGATTTTTTATTTTTACTACAAATTCAATTTCTTTAGAAGTTATAGGGAAATTCAGGTTATCTGTTTTATTTTGGGTGAGTTTTAGTAGTTTGTGCTTTTTGAGAAATTGGTCCATTCATCTAAGTTTTCAAAATTATGCACATAGAGTTGTCAGATTGTTGATTTCTTAGTTTGCCTATTTGATGTATAAAAGATTGAAAGGATTTCTTAAATCTTTATGTGCGTGTGTGTGTTTGTTTTTTTTTTTTTTGGTAGATACACTTTCTTTTTTAGTGGATTCTTGAGCCTGGACTTTTGTAAGACAGGTTTCATTGAGGGATTTCTATTCGTTTGTCAAGCTCTGAGTGTTGATTTGTTTCCTCCCTCTGGATCAGGGTAGCTTATATTTCCTCTTACTAAATTCATAGAAGGAAAATTAGAAACTTGTAACAATAAGAGAAGATATATTTCTCTAAACTTAAAAGGTTTTTTTTTTTTTTTTTTTGTCTTTTTTCGTGTCCGGCAACGGATCGCAACCCTCGGTGTCGCGCCCACACCTCGCTCAGCCAGTGAGCGGGAACCGGTCTGTATGTGGGATCCGAACCCTCGGCGGGAGCGCCGCCGCGCTCCCAAGCGGCGCACTGTAGCAGTGCACCACCGGGCTGGCCCTAAAAAGGTTTTTGACACAGGAACACTATACGGGTTAGCAAATGCAGGTCTTAACTCAAGGTGGCTCCACCAGACTGAAAATATACAACCTTGCACTGCCCTTTTTTTGACCTTGTTGCATCCAGTGGCCTTCTCAGATTTACTATGTCAGAAAGTTGAGGAGGGGTAGGGGCCAAGGAATCTTTATATCTTTATATTTAATTACGTGATATACAACCTTGCACTGCCCTTTTTTTGACCTTGTTGCATCCAGTGGCCTTCTCAGATTTATAATGTCAGAAAGTTGAGGAGGGGTAGGGGCCAAGGAATCTTTATATCTTTATATTTAATTACGTAATTTTAATGCACCGGAGGATTAAAAAGAAGCATTGGTGAAAGCAGTATGCCTCCCTGCAGAGAGAGCTTTATTTTATTCCTGGAGATATTATAGAAAAAGCACTAAACCAGAAGTCAGATGATTTAGAATCTGGTCTGAACTTTGATGCTACAAAGCTAAGGAGGAAGTAACTTAATTTTACTGAGTTTTAATTTTCTTATTTTTATTTATTTTTTCTTGTATTTATTTATTTTAATTGAAACATAATTGCATATGTCTGTGGGGTACAGCATTATATATTTTTTATTCTTATTTATTTATTTATTAACTTATTTTCAGCAGCTGGCCGGTGAGGGGATCCAAACTCTTGACTGTGGTGTTATCAACACTTCGCTCTAACCAACTGAGCTAACCGACCAGCCCTTAATTTTCTTATTTTTAATTGGTTAATAAAGAAACTATTCTTTGGTTTTGAAGGCAGAGTTATTTTTTTCAATTGGCAAGTTTCTTCAACTAATAAAAATGTATTTTATTTAATCCTTTGAACCGATGCAGCTTGGAAAAGAAAATATAAAACATATCTACATAAACATTACATAGCATATGATGTGTTCTTATCTGGTCCCCTGTGAAGTTTCAGTTCAAGTGAAGAAATAGTGATTGGCAGCCCCATGCTCAACTGTGAAAGGAGGCATTTGCTATTTGAAGGGAGAGGAGGTGTTTCAAGGTAACAAAAGGGCCCAAAGCAATCAGAAGAAGAAGGTTTATTAATGTGGATTTAATGGCATTAGTTGCTTCCCTGCTTTTTTCTCATCATGTAACAGTTTGAAACACTGTATAATTTTTTCAAGATTCTAACATAAACAGTCTAATCCATATGATTATATAATCTAATCCGTTGATTCTTATAAATTTAAGTAACATAAGGCAGGTATATAGAACTTTGACCAATGTTTCTATAAAGAAGAGGTCTTAGCTACCTCTTTTTGAAAATAAAGTTTTATTGGGAAACAGCCATGTCCATTCATTTATGTGTTGTCTATGGCTATATTTGTACTACATGCAGAATTGAGTAGGAGAGACAGAGACCGTATGGACTGCAAAGCCATAAATAGTTGCTTTCTGGTGTTTTACAGAAAAGTGAGCCAACCATCACTATGAAAATTAAAACCTTATTTTTTGGTGAAAGACAAAAAAGCCTTGATCAGGAAAAAAAGCCTAGTGATGCACATTTTATTTCCAGCTCGAAAATCATTCTTAATTGCTCTAAGAAATGTCAGTCATTTACCTAGGACTTTTGACAATTGGGATAAAGTCTACATATACTAAATAATAACAAGAGTATTATTTTATTAGTCAAAAAATGTTAAAAACATTATTCTTTTGGAGGAAAATTAGCAGAATTTCAAATATAACTTAAAATTAGGAAAATGAGTAGTCTAAGATTTGGGATTATAAGCAATCAAATAATTAAGTTAGTTCAATTTTCTAACACATTATCGATCATCATTTAAAGTCCATCTTTGCAAATTACGTATTGCTGTAAATGCAAAATGCGTAATTGTCATCATGTTACTATGTTTAATGCAGTGTCAACTGTCTAAAGTATCCTATTAAAGTGATAATCTGGGTGAACTGAGCAAGAAGGGAAAATATACTTCATTAGCGCATTTATTTAGTGTCCAGCTCCTACTCATGCTGATGGTTTCTTCCATCTCACTACAGGGATTAGAAATTCTAGATGTCTAGATAAGGTGGTTTGCCTTAGCTTGGAATCCATCAGTGAGGAGTATCCATTGCCATTGCCCAGAAATCACATTATTGCTCATAAACTGTACAGTTTCGATATGATGGAGAACTGTCTACAGCCACACCACCTTGAACATGCCCAATCTCATCTGATATGATGGAGAAATGTACATGGTTTTCACTAAGACGCTAGGATGGTTGTCCCTGACATTGGTACCCACTGTAAACTTGTCCAAGCTATGTCCCAAGATTTGTACCTAAGACTTTGCTCAATATATATTTGTCTACTGTTTGCCATCTTCATGAATAAATTTCTTTTGAGTGGTAGCAGCTCATGATACAGGCTATGTTGGTACAGAGATAAAATGCATCCTTGCTACAAAATGTGCAATCTTTTTAGGAAGATGAACATGATTTCAATTATTGTCGTGGATGTCTTTGCAAATTTTTGGTGTTATGATGGAAGACCTAATTATTACCAAATAGAGTGACACTTATTCCAAATTCTAAAATTGCTTCAGTTATGCCTTGGATAAGGGTGACAGGAAAGCTTTATTATTTAGGTCTTTAGCTTATAATACATCTCTTTGGCGGTTTCATCCTTTCCTGGAGTTTCTGTATCTCAGTATGAAGTTGTTTGCTCTCATCTTGGAATCCTTCCTTTAGTAGTCGGGCCTGTTCCTAAAAAGGTGCAAATGGAGACTGAATAAAATGTAGCATTAAGTAAATCTCTATATTCTATCTAGTTTCCACATTCATTGATTTTTGTAGTATTTAATGCTGTCTTGAAATTTTTGCTACCCTTAATTTTCATTATACTTTTTCTTGGGCATATGAGCTCTGTGTTGGGTCTTTTTTAGGTAAGAGTTTCATCTTATACCTCCTGAAAAAGTTCATGGAGAGATTTGTATTATCTTCTAATTCTATTTTTCCATGAACTTTTTGAAGTACCCTTGTATTGTTGAACCTAAATTACTAGTCTTGATTTTCCCCCCTATTAACTGTATACAACTTTTGTTTGTGGGCAATCCCTTTTTTTTTTCTTTTTTTACAGCTGACCAGTAAGGGGATCTGAACCTGGAACCTTGGGGTTATAAGGCTGCGCTCTAACTAACTGAACTAATGGGCCAGCCCTGTTGTGGGCAATCTTAATCATATATTTGTCTCTAAATCTTATCTATGCATTAGAGGCTCTTTTATGTACCTACCTACACACATATTGTTACATATATACATATAACAGAAATAAATAATTCTCAGAATCTGATGAGGTGTCTGAATCTTGGATCAGGAAATTTGATCTAAGCCTGCCACCTCCCTTGGTGGCAGGGGTAGCAGAGATAGGTAAGGAAATCAGAGTTTCAGACTGACCATACTGAATTTCTGCATATAACTTCCAACTCAACACAGACTGGGAGCAGGGCATAGAAAACAGGTAGCAGAGGCAGACTATCAAACAGGTGTGAGGGTAAGGAAAGGAGTCCTGCTCATAAAGATTCTCTTAAAGTCATACAGAAAAAAAATCAATGTGGTTTCCAAGTAATGAAGACAGCTCAGATATTTTACCAAGCTGTGTGACCCTATTAGAGTTATTTAACCTTTTCTGAACTTCTATTTTATTCTCCTAAGTACTAGGGATATAGTTCTTGTTTCATATGGTATTAAGCTAGAGATACAAATAAGACATTTTTATGATGCCTAGTAGATAATAACTACCATTATTTGAAGCATATACTGGTAAAAAAAACCGAATGTGCTAATAAAAAACTTTTAATAACCAGACATAGGCAGTGGCTAGGACAGGCAGGCACAGGGATCAAAAGGTACCAGTGAGTGAGCAAGGTCCTTCTTCTGGGATTCTTGTTCTGCCTGCCGCATTGTTTGTGATCAGGATGAATAGAGAGAAAACAAAAAACCAGAAACTGCAAGGTGATGCAGGTGAATACCTGAAGTTTGAGAGTGAGGGTCCTTTCTTGCTCTGCCATTAACTGGGCCCTGTCCTGCTCCATCTTCTCAGTCAATTGTTTCACATGTTCCTGGTAACTCTTCTCTTTCTGTTCCATTATCTGCTCATTCTTTCTTTGCATTTCTTCCAACATTTTTGCTGCAGCCTGTGCAGATTCAGCTTTCACACGTTCCACTGGGGAGGAAAAGGAAGAAGAAAAATTTACGTGGGGTCACCATGCTGCCCCCTTCTTCCTTGTACATTTACCTGTTGCTGCTCACTGCATAAGCCCAACTCAGACATGACTTCAGCAAGTGAGATGCATTTTTGCTTGTCTTACTCTAGATTAAGGATCCCAGGTTTACCTAGTCCAATGATTTAAATCTTCAAGAGGTTTTCAGGCCATCTAGTCTCTTGACTCACTCCTCACCTTCAATCTCCTTTTCCTTTTCTGTGAGAGTCTGGTCTGTCTGAAGAATTGCGTCAGTCACAGACTCCTTGGACCTCAGATATGTCTGCAGAATCTCTTCAGCCTTAGGACCCAGAGAACACAGTTAGCAGTAGGTAATGGCTATAAACATTTGTTCCTGCTTTTTTGTCCACCATCTTTTCCTCTAGGAATTCCTCCTTTTGGCCATGGTGTGCCTGGTGGTCAAGTTTCCTGTCTCAGGGGTGGGCAGATGCTCCAGGCTGGCCGATCAGAATATCCCACTTAGCAGAGTTCTTTTTAGGAGGCTAATATAGGTACTGGGAAAAAGAGATTCTCCGTCCTTTTCAGATTGAGGGCTCTAAGTTTGGAGCTGTTCATGCTGCGGTTCCATATGGGATGAGCTTGCTGGAGAATGAAGCCATCGATGAGAGCAATGAGAGGGAGGAAGAGAGGGAGGGAATTGTGGGGGTGGGGGAGGCAATGGAAAAGGGAGAGATGATGATATTATTTGAAATCTTGGATAAAGCTATCCTTTATAGCCAGCTTGAAGCCTAAACTAATGAATTACCATTTTTGTTTAAGTAACCATCATTGGATTTCCATCCCTTACAACAACAACAAAAAATCTAGCTATGATAGTAGATGACAATAAAAAGTTGCCCATTAATCTGATAATTTAATTCATAACTCAATTGTTAATTGATTGCAGTGTTTTGATGAGCACCTAGGGCATGTCTAGTATAACAGGCTCCCTGTACGTATTTATTGAATGAAAGAGCAAGTGCTATGTAGACAATAAGCCATATCCATGTGCAATGATGCTTGGTAACATTGGTGTTTCAAAGAGGCACATCAAGAGCTTCCCATAACCAACAGATAAACCTTGGTTACCTGTATCCCCTTCCTCGGTTCCTGAAGATACTTGTTCTTCAGGTCTCGTATCTTCTGAATAAGGAGATGATAGCCCCCTGGTTTAGAATAAATCCCCCGCTTCACATCTTCTTCTAGAGGACCAAAAATATCCTTAAGTACAGCTGAGCAACGATCTGATGATACTTCCAGATTCTGTTTGCAAAAGTCTTCTCGCTTTTTTTCTAGCTGGGCCTTTCATGTAAAAATAGGAAGTAAAAAAAAATAATAATAACAGGGAAAAGACATTAGTTTGATGTCAGAATTTCTGGAAATGCTTCTCAAAAAAAATTCTATGACCCCTAGAAAAACTTAAAGGTAGCTCAGCAGGACCATATCCTTCCTTCTGATCCCTGCTTTCTATTGAAGTCCCTTTCTCCTTGGAGGTGAAGTTCGTTGTAGATTGCTAGTTCATGCCACACCTTTAAAGGCAAACTTCTGTTTTTTCACATTGGATCATTGATTGCATGTGGAATATGCCTGCTCAGCATAAACTTGCTCAAGATAACTAAGACTAAAGTTTTCTTTGCTTTTGACTAGAATATCAAATCCACCTGATAACAGTGGGCATGCAGTTTGATTAGAAGATCTGATCATTGGTTATATGTATTTAATTTAAGGGAAGACTTGGTTTACTTATGAAAGAAAAATATTTTAAAACTTTGAGTTTATAATAGTAAAATTGGTTCTTCTGATTATTATGATTATAAGTAGACAATTGTCACCATATAGAGGGCTAGTAAGAATTGCTTCTATCAAAACGAATACTCATTTCATTTCCTACTGCCTTCCATGATACTAATCTATGTAAACTTGAAAGAGAAATTACCGCCAATTTCTTTTGAAATAAATGGTCCACGTCTTTGAAGGAGCTCCTGATGAAGATTTCAATGGCCTCTCTCTCACAGGCCCTGTGCAGGTTCAGCAGCTCCTGGAGGGTGTCTGTGGGCAGCTGAACCTTCTGGCTCATCTGCTGGTCATAGTGGGCAATGGCCTTTTGTACTGCAGCTGAGTTCTCTGTCTGGGCCAAGGACAGGACTGCGTTATCCATGCAGGGCAGCTCTCCACTGCTGATGGCATTGACATAGGTCAGCACCAGGCTCTTCAGACCTACAAATGGAACAAATAATGATGTTTGTTATAGGTGGAGTGAAGAAGAGTCTCTCTTTTGTGTAATTCTGAGAATGTCTATTAATAGCTATTTGCCTCAAGCATCAGTGTGCTCAGCATCACCTGGAAGCTTGCTGGAGATGCAGACTCAGCCTATGGCCTAGGTCAATGGAATTAGACCCTCCTCTTTGGCAAGATCCCTGGTGATATGTATGTACACTAAAGGTTGAGAATCCCTGTTCTAAGTAAGGTAAGCCTGTGTTTATTGAATGTTTACATCTATTTGAGTCCCACACACCATTAGGACAGAAACTATACCTCTCTCATGTACATCTGTATCATCAGTCCTCTGTACTATGGCCATGGTAAGCCCTTGATCAATATTTATGGAGCAATTAATGCTACCCCAATCTAGAAGAGTCCTCCCTTTGGCGTATTCTATTACAGCACTGTCCAAGAGAACTTCCTGTGATGATGGAAATGTTCTATATGTGCTATCCAATATGGCAGCCTCTGGACACATTTAGATTGAACCCTTTAAATATAGCCACGTGGTCTGAATATTTAATTTTCTTTCATTTTAATTAGTTTACATTTACATTTAAATAACCACACTTGTCTAGTGGCTATTATATTAAATAGTGCAGGTCCAGTTCTCCAGGGCGATTTTAAGCAATAGAACCTTTTTCCTTTGGCCTTTCCTATATTTTCCCACCGGAAAATTTGACTAAAAAATCTAGTAGAAATGCTGGTGCCATCTAGAATTTAACACAATAATAGTGGTAGATTTACATTTTTTAAAGCCGACCCTAGACGGTGATGGATTTTGGACGTGACTGGTGCCATTATGCACACAATAAGCACAAAATAGCCGCTGGCCTCGTCTTCCACTCCAGCACCAAGTGCCTCCCTGCTTCCCTTTATGAGAAGCCTCCTGACTTGAACAGAAACAACTTTTGCTTCCACAAGGACACAGTTCTCCACCACAATCAACATTAGCATAATGCCCCTCCTCGATTGTATCAGTCCATATAAGCTCTCCTACCCCCCACATCTAGTGCTGCCCTCCATTTTCAGGGCAGCCCCAGGCTTCCCCTGACTTTAGGTGCAGCCCAGCAGATTCTTTTCCTTTAATAAAGCTTGAACGGTACCCGGCATCTTGGCTCACTTTCTTTCAGGTGGATGTTATTCCATGGTCATTTAATGTTAACAACCAGTAAAAAGACTAGGAAGGGGACTCACGTGGTCCATTAACCTTGATGCCTCCAGGCAGAGTTTTAGTCTTGGAATTTCTAAAGATGTAGGAACAGAAGGCTGCAACTTGTTCCACAAATTCAGAGTCCAGCTCATTATCATGTAGTGTCTCAAGCTGGGTAAGCTTCTTCCAGTGAGCGGGCTGACACAAGAGGAAGCATTTCTTCTTTGGAAAGAACTTCCGGATACAGAGTCGGGGCAGATTATAGTTTTTTACTTTTTGACTCGTACCTGGAGGAAGATAAAAAGGGATTTGGGGCTGGCCAGTTAGCTCAGTTGTTTAGATTGTGATACTGATGACACTAAGGGCGGATACAGAGTCGGGGCAGATTATAGTTTTTTACTTTTTGACTCGTACCTGGAGGAAGATATAAAGGGATTTGGGGCTGGCCAGTTAGCTCAGTTGTTTAGATTGTGATACTGATGACACTAAGGGCAAGGGTTTGATCGCTGTACTGGCCAGCTGCCAAAAAAAATAAAAAAAGGAATTTGCCTAATATAAGAGTTTGAAAACTTTTTCTGTAAAGGGCCAAATAGTAAATATTTTAGGTTTTGCAGACCAAGTGGTCTCCTTCCTAAGTACTCAAACTCTGTTACTGTGGTATGAAAACAGCCATAGACAATATGTAAATGAATGAGCATAGCATTATTCCAGTAAAACCTTGATTACAAGGACAGCTGGTAGGCTGGCCATCATTGTCTGTGGGCTGTAGTTTGCAAACACTTGGACTGGTATACTGTTTTAACCTATTTTCTTCAAATAAACATCAATTTTGCTTCATTTTTTAAAAAAAATTTTATATTGATTATGCATAGTCATGTTGTACAAAGTTGACTGTCCCCACCTGTGTCCAAGATATGATCAGATCAATACTATCAGTATTCCCATTACCATTAATTGCCATTATTCCCCGTGTCCCCCACCCAGCCCTTCATACTTCATATTCTATGGCTAAGACACAATCAGAAACCCTAAGTAGGGAGATAAAATTAACCTAATCACAGCACAGGAAAAGGTGAAAGAAAAAGAAACTTGCTCTTCGAACAAGGGAGAATATAATTTAAAAGCAAATCTATTAATTCAGATATTAAACAAGAATTAATTCCTAGGAATAGCCAGCTGGAAGAAATAGAAAACTGAAAATGTAAGAATACTATAAATAGAACACTCAAAAATGACAATTTCTAATCTTTTTTCATCCCCATTTACCAACTGTAAGTCTCTGTTACCTTGCTTCAGCTTGAGTGAATTCTCCAGGTACTCATCTGCTGTGATGGTTCGTCCATCTGATTCCAGGTCCAGAGAAAAATCTCTGAGTGTCCACACAAAGTCTGGAAAGAAGCTCACAAACTCAGCTGAATCCTCACAATCATCCACATCAGGTGAGGATTTTGCTCTGATTCGATCTGTCAGCTCTGTCACATAGCTAAGTAGCTAACTAAGGAAAACTGATACAATGAACAGGGCCCTCCCATCCATCTTAGTTCCACATATTCCCAACCTTTCATTTTGCCTTTGTTCTTAACCTAAGTGTCAATTCTTCAGTAGGTACACGTAATCTTTTCCCTGTATTGGATTATTTTTTTCTGTTTTCTCTTTTTGTGCTGGATTCCCCAGGATTCACAGTCAGGTAGCTGGTTTATTAATATGGGCCTCCCCTGTGACTTCGGTGCTGTTCTGGACCACAACAAGGATACTGCAGTTGGTCCATGGCCTGCTGGCTGATGGTTCCCATGCTATTGTACACAAAGGTGCTGCTCAAAAGAATTGTCAGGGCAAAGATCCAGGAGTCATTCTGGTTGTCACCCTGGAAGTACAAATTCAGTTAAAACATTTCCCTTCTTTATTTAAAAAAGCAGAATTTCAGCTGATGCCTGAAAACAACTCTTTGGATGTAATAATTTCTTTATATAATTGAATCAAGGAAGTAATTTTCATGTCTGTTCTGAGGAAGAAGAAGTTGTTTATGGTGCAGAGGAACTTCCTTGGCTATTTCTACCCAAGTCTAAATGTGACCATCAAAGTTGACTTATATAAGATTAATAATACTCATAGCTATTTTGAGCAATTATTAAGCACTGGGCACTTACATTATTGATCTTATTAAATATCCTAAACAGTACTATGAGGCAGATATAGATCTGTTACATCCATTATACAGTTCAGAAAGCTGAGTCTAAAAATAGTCTAGTAATCTGCTGCAGTCACTGACTTAGTGACAGAGTTTAAATTTAAACACAAAGTCATAGGGCTTCAGAACCCAAATCCATAATTAAAGTTCTCTGTGGGATATGACTGATGACATTGAGTTTATTTGTGCTACCTCTACGCATCTGATTAATTCACTTAGCTTACAGCCTGTTGTAAGAATACTGTCTACTGACCACCATGTTCCTCTGCTAGGATTCTGTTTTTGGATATTTTCCTCACCTCTTATTGCTAAACTTAGTCTCATGACAGGAAACAGAAGTGAAAAGACACATTATGGTTAAGTGCAAGTTCTTATTTAAGGAAAAACTAAATAATGTGGAGAATATTCAGAGACGAGGGGCTTATTTTAAAATTGAATCCTCCTTCCTTACCTTCTCTACATCACCCAGGCCCTCAGTGTCAAGCAGAACTAGGGTGTGTTCTGGCTTCTCGGGATGAGGCACACACCACATCCAGATTCCCTTGGTGTGAGACTGCACTGTGGAGCCCAGAGAGAAGCCTGCAAGGGTGAGTGGGGTAAGAGGGGATGGAGTATTAATAGCAGGCAGTTCTGGAAATTGAGATAAAAGTTAGCATAATCGAAATTAGGAGAGATAACCGAAACCACAACCAATACTAATCTTACTTACAATCAAAGAAATAGAGAAATTAGGACACCTAACAGATGAAAAAATTTAACACTCTTTTGTGATAAAAACAATCAACAAACTAGAAATAGAAAAAAACTAACTCAACACAATAAAGGCCATATATGAAAAACCCACAGCCAACATCACACTCAATGGTGAAAGACTGACAAGTTTTCCTCTAAGATCAGGACCAAGAACATGATAGCCCACTATTGCCACTTCTGTTCAACATAGTAGTGGAAGTCCAATTCAGAGTAATTAGGCAAGAAAAAGAAATAGAAGGAAAGGAAGAAGAAAATTTCTTATTCACAGACGACGTGATCTTATATGTAGAAAACCTTAAATATTCCACAAAAAAACCTGTTACTAATAAATGAATTCAGCAAAGATGCAGCATAGAAAATCAACATGCAGAAATCAGTTGCGTTTCTACACATGAACAAAGAACAATATGAAAAGGAAATGAAGAAAACAATCCCTCTACAATAGCATCAAAAGAATAAACTACTTAGAAATAAATTTAACCAAGGAAGTAAAAGACTTGTGTAGTGAAAACCACAAAACATTACTGAAGGAAATTAAGGAATACACAATACAAAGACATCCTGTTTTATGTTTATGGCTCGGAAGACTTAATATTCTTAAGATGTCACAACCACCCAGAGTGATATACACATTCAATTCAATCCCTATCAAATTCCAATGCCCTTTTTTTTGTAGAAATAGAAAAATTCCTTATAATTTTTATATGAAATTTCGAGAGATCCCCAAGTAGCCAAAAGAATGTTAGAAAGGAAGAACAAAGTTAGAGGTCTCACACTACTTGAGTTCTGAAACTTACTATAAAAACATGGTAACCAAAACAGTGTGGTGCTGGCCTAAAGACTAACTCGTAGACCAATGGAATAGAATAGAGAACCCAGAAACAAACTCTCATATATATGATTTCAAATAAGGGTGCCAAGATCATTCAAAGAAGAAAGGAGAGTGTCTTCAACAAATGATGTTGGGAAAACTGATTATCCACTACAAGAAAAAAGAAGTTGGTCTGTTGCTTTATACCATAGAGAAATAAACTTGAAATGGATCAAAGACCTAAACTTTAAAGCTACAACTATTAAATTCATAGGAGAAAACATGGGGGGAAAGCTTCATGATATTGAATATGGCAGTGATTTATTAGCTGTGAAACCAAAAGCATAGACAATAAAAGAAAAAATTCATAAGTTGGAGTTGATCAAAATCAAGCAATTTTGTGTATCAAAAGACACTATTGGCAGAGTAAAAAGGCAATACATGGAATTGGAGAAAATATTTGCTAGACATGTACCTGATATGGTATTGATATACAGAATATATGAAAAATTCCTACAATACATCACAGGCAACCAATCAACCAAACAGATTAAAAAATGAGCAAAGGACTTGAATAGACATTTCTCCAAAGAAGATACACAAATGGCCAATAGGCACATAAAAACATGCTCAACATCACCAGTAATTAGGGGAATCCAAATCAAAACCACGATGAGATATACTTTATACATGTTGGGATGGCCACTATAGAAAAAATAAAAAAAAATAAAAAAATAAAAAAACAGAAAATAAAAATGTTAGTGAGAATGTGGAGGAATTAGAACACTTGTGCATTTCTGGTGGTAATGTAAAATGGTACAGTCACTGTGGAAAAAGGTATACTGATTTCTTAAAAAATTAAACATAGAATTAGCATATAGACCAGCAATTCCACTTCTGGGTATCTACCCAAACGAAATGAAAGCAGGCATATTAATATGAGCATTATTTGTAATAGCCAAAAGATGGAAGGAACCCAAGTGTCCATGGAGAGAAGAACAGATAAACAATGGGTATATACACATACGATTATTCGGCCTTTAAAAAAATGAGTTTTGACACATGCTAGAACGTTGATGAACCTTGAAGACATTGTGCTAAGTGAAATAAGACAGTCACAGAAAGGACAAATAGTGTATGATTCCCCTTATCTGATGAAGTTCCGAGGGTGGTCAAATTCATAGAGACAAAGCAGAATGGTGATTGGCAAAGGGCAAAAGCTTTTGTTTTGAGGCACAGAGTTTGTTGGGAAAGATGACAAAGTTCTGGGGATGGAAGGTGGTGATGGTTGCACAACAGTATGAACTTACTTAATGCCACAGAACTGTACATTTAAAAATGGTTACAATGATAAAAGTTTTTCAGGTATATTTTACAGCAATAAAAATAAAGAATATCCAATACAGATTGAAACATTGTTTTAACCTTTAGAATCAGTGGAAACTTGCTGTTACCACATGAACATGTAAATGAATGTATTATAGCTTATTAAGTTTATTATTATGTACATTAATTATTTTAATTACTGCCTTACACCTTCTAGAAAAGAAATAATTTATGCTTTTGAAAGGGAAAGCTAAGGCATAGTGGGAAGAGTGAGTGAGCTGACTCTTATCCCCTAGAACAGAGTAAAGATAAGGAGCCCAACTGTGAGTGGCAAGTTAGCTTCCAGTGTTCATCCCCATCTCTGACTTTCTCCCCTCACACCCCACGCAGGATGCTGACACTGTGCGTGGACAGAAGGGACTCGGCAGAGCTTTGCTGGGCACTCACCCTTTTTCTGCCCAGCCAGCTTGTTCATCAGGTAGGACTTGCCTGTGCGGTAGAGGCCCACAATAGCCACCACCACCACAGGCTGCGTCACGGCAGACAGGATCTTCAGAGCCTCTTGATTAACCACCAGTTGCCCTGTTGTGTTCTCAATGAGGCACACGGGGCCTGGCATGTGGGTCTCTGAAGTCATGTTCAGGTTGTTACTTTGTCTGCAAGGGAAGAGGTAAAATAAATTAGAATTTCCAGTCTTTTGTATTCAGAAAGTAGAGTCATAATCAAAAGTTTTGTATAGGCCGGCCTGTGGCTCACTCGGTAGAGTGCGGTGCTGATAACACCAAGGCCACGGGTTCGGATCCTATATAGGGAGGACCGGTTTGCTCACTGGCTGAGCGTGGTGCTGACAACACCAAGCCAAGGGTGGAGATCCCCTTACCGGTCATCTTTAAAAAAAAAAAAAAAAAGACAAAAGTTTTGTATGCATCAGTGAGACAGATGAGGGAAAATCCATACATTTTAGAAAGCTGGGGAAGTATTATCAAAGTAGTGCATTAAAATAAGTGCATATGACAGTGACTTATCAACATTCAACTACTCTCATGACCCAGAACTTCTATTTAATTTATCATGGAAAACTTTCCTTTTAGATTCTTATTAAAAATTGTACACTAGACATCAGTGGAAAGCAGAATAAGGTTTAGAGCTTTTATTTTCCATCCTGGCTGTAAGTAAGCAATTTAATATTGATTTATCCGTTTATTAATTTTTACACTGAATAAAGACCCTTATGAATAAATGTTTGTTGATGTATGCCATTAGGACAGTTTCCAGAGATTTTTTGTTCCTCCCCCCAACCCCCAACTACTTATGCTTATTTCACTGGAGGGAGGATCCATGGAACTCCTCACATTGCCTTCCTGGAAGTGAAATCAACATAACTTTGTTAATTTATAACACTATGTGATCATATGAAACACATGGCCAAGGCCGTGGAAGGGGACTGTGCAAGAGAAGGGCCCTGGGACTTAAGCTTCATTATCTTCACAATAAATTAGCTTCCAACTGAGAGCAGGTAGAAGTGCACAATTGCCAACACTGTACATTGATAAAAAAAGACTGATTAAGAGAACTAGATAGGAAGTTGTTCAAAGAGAATACCTATATTTCCAGTGATACACTCTTACGTTCTCTGTTTTGTTCTATTTTTCTTTTTGGTAGAGAAGGATAAATATAAAGAGCAGGAAGAGAGTGGAGGAAGAGAAGAATAGGAGCTGAAAGGGAGGGAGAGAGAAATGTTACACAAAAAGGTGATGCATGAGCCTGGTGCAGTGTCAAGGAATTCAAGGGAGGAGTTTCCAGAAAGTGGGATCACAGTTGTCTGAGGGCATGGGGAGGTCAGGCTAAACAAAGCCTATTGTGTTGCAGTTACAGGAAGCTGTTTAAGGAGGAAGGTAAAGTAGTGGAGCAGAATTCAACTAGGAAGGGTACATAGTGAGTGGGTCCTAAGAAATTAGTGAGTCTGGGCTATTTCTAAAGGAAGAAATCCACTTTTGAAACAAATTCATGATTTAAAACTATGCTGCTTTCATGAATCTTCTGTCTTTCACTCTGGGTTTCAGTTTGTCCTTTGTCTTAAACAGTGTCAGTGGGCTGTTTTCCACACATGTCATTTACTGTTATTTCCTTCTCATGAAAATAACCCATTTGTAGCCCATTCAATTTCTCAGTAGCAGCAGGAGCAGTATCGGTCTAGCTCCATCATTGACAATGGTAACTTAATTGTGTCCGTGATTAATACAGACAATGTGAACAAAGAGAAAGACAGTCTTAATGCATTTCAAACTTTCAGTTTAGCCCCATTTGCCCCAATTATGCGGCTGCCGAACCCAGCCTAAGCACAGTAGTGACACTATGGGACATGCTGCCCCTGTAACTAACAATCCTATAACACCAGGGTTTCTTCTGACCTTGGGTCCCATCGCTGGCTCAGCTGAGAGAACCTGTCTTGGTTCTAGTTATGTTTAAAAAAAATAACATACCCTAATAGATCTCTTCCCATTTCTGCTCCAATCTTATAGGTTACCTGTCCCTGAGCAAAAGTTCTTCAGAGCTGGAAAGAAAGTTGCTTTGATGAGAAGTAGGAAGAGTTCTTACCTGTTTTTTTTCTCCTCAGTTGAGCTGGAGTAGGTTCTATCACTTCTCTGTCTCTCACTGGATTGTTGGGCTTTTATTTCCCTCCTGCAATGCTGGGGGTTTTTCTGGATGTTCTTCAGTGACTGACGTTTGAGGAAAAGCAATGTCTGTAATGGATTTAGACTAATATGAAACTGAAAGTTCTTGGTCCTTGGTAGTGACTCAACTGCAATAAAAGCAATTCCTGGAACTGTGCTAGTGGGAGGGTTTGACACAATTTCTCAGTTAAGAACCTCCAAAGTGTTTAGTAAGATTAGGTCTTAGCAGGCATTTGCTGTTTAAGAAAATGTCCCATAAATGTTGAATATAATGGAATGTTTCTCAAGATTGAGGGTCAGTTTGAGCATCCTAGAATGAGGAAGCATCATATTATTTTGGGGGTCTCATTTCCTCAAATAACAAACACACTCAAAAGGGAGCTTGCTATTCTCATAGAGATGTAGTAAGTGAGGGAAAGGGCATGTTTTACACACTCATGAACACCCAGCCCCTGGCACTTAGTACCTAGTGCACAGTCGGGGGGATCCATTTATCGTACATGTGTTAAAGGCTCATGAAACAGTTATTCATGAAGATCTCCTACAACTCTAGTAAGAATAGCAAGAGTCTGTGACACTAGAGCTATGACCCGCTTCCTCATCATCTCCAGTTCAGTTTAACAAAGCCCCCCTAATGGTGGGTATGGCCACAGGACAGGGCTTCCTCTTGCCTCACCTTCCAAGCTGGGATATGGGATCCCATCAGGAGGGGCAGGCCACCAGCATTTCTCATCCCCTACAATACCAACTTATAAAGACTAAATTTCTGGTGAGTGTGACCAGAATTCCAGGGCTCCCAACCTCTACCCAGTCCCACTCAAAGAGCGAGGCTCTAGCTCAAGCATGGCAGGCTGAGAATACCTGGTCTAATGACCCTCTCTTTGGTTCACTTGTAGAGCGGAAATTCAACACTGGGAGAAGCGAGTGGGGAAGACCAGAGGCTACCAACCCTGTCCAGTGGAAGGAGCAGTGGCTCAGAGATGTTACGCAGGAGAGACACAGTCCATAAAAACCGAGAGTTTCTGAAGTTCTCCCCAAAAGAACTGACTTGATTTGAAGCAGCGTGTGAGGACGTTCAAGCATAGAGACTTGAAAATTTATTGCTAGCAGGTAGGATTTACAAGAAATACTAAAAGAAACTTTTCAGGCCCAAAGCAAATGACCCCAGATGGTCATACAAATCCAACTAGAAAGACAAAGAGCAACAGTAAGGATATTGTGTAATCATAAAAGACAGCATGAATGCATATGTCTTTTCCTTTCTCCTCTGAACTCATTAAAAAAGTGTATAAAACAGTATGTATATGATTGTATTACAGGGCCTATAACATATAGAAGTGCAATAAACTTAGAAGAAACAGCACAGAGGAGGTAGGTCTGAGCAAAGCTGTATTGGAATAAAGAAGTAACACCAGCTGTCGACTTGAACCCACAGGAATAAAGAAAGAGAACCAGAAATTGTAAGCAAGTTACATTACAAGATCTATAAATTTATACTTCCTACTTCAGCTTTTTAAAAAGACATAAAATTATATAAAATTGCTGAATGCTTTAGTTTCAAGTTACATTTTTTCGGGACTGGGCTAGTCTTGTAGAAAGAGTGCTTAAAGCACAGAACTCAAATATTTTTTAATTGTTCAAGTGGTTATAACACCAAGGTCAAGGGTTTGGAGCCCCATACTGGTCAGCTGTCCCTCCCCCCCCTACCCCTCCCCAAATAAATAAGTAAATAATTTAAGAGGGATGTCTACTTTTGGCTATGATGAGGGGAGAAAAATCTAGAATGGATGGTGGAGGAGTGAGATGAGGAATATCAATAACAGTCTTGGAGAAGTTACAGGAGCAAAGTCTATGGCATGTACCACTACCTCCTGTGTACCAAGTCTCTTATGAGATAGCAGCAGGTCACTAATTTGAAGACTTGGCAATGGCTTCAGCTGAATGTAGGGCACAGAGATCAGAGTGGTGACGGGCTGGATGGTATCAGATGCATCTGATGCACTGACATCTTCTCCGTCTCACCTCCAGTCGGAGCTTTGGCTGAGATGAACAGTTCAAAGGAGGTCTGAACTTACTCAGAATGATTGTGTTTTCCTTTAGGATGTGTAAAGCCCACGTCCTCACAGACTATAGGGGCTATGGGATTGGTGTTCCCCACCCTGTAACTTCCCCATTCAGGTCACTCTCAAAAGTGCTGGGCACAGATTTGCCTTAGGGCCTTTGTACTTTGTACTTCTGCCATTTCCCCAGATATCCAGGTGACCTACCTTTGTACTACTTTGGAGCTTTGTTGAAATGCCACTTTATTGATGCTATTTCTGATCCCCTGTGTCAAACTGCTCTATTGTAAATTGCCAGCTCTTGCTCTTCCTTATCCCTGCTTCACTTTTCTATAATGAAATTGTGGTCATTTGACATTTTGTATATTTTACATTTTTTTTTATTTCTTGCTAGAATGTTATGTCCATGAAGGCAGAAATTTTTGTCTTTTTCTCACTTTAATTCTTAGCACCTCAAAACAGTGTTGGACACATAATAAGCCTTCATTGTTATCTCCATTAAGGCAGAGTTTTTCATCTCTTTCTGACTGTTTAATTTTAGTACCCCAAAACAGTGACTGACACATAATCAGCCTTCAATAAGTATTTGTTGGTCAAATTTATCAAAACTGTGGAAGTAAACATGTTAGTTAAGGTTATGCTTGTAAATTTTTGACATATATTATGAAATTTGCTTTTGGAATATTTGCCGCCCCTCCCACTTCTCCAGGTGTTTATCCAGCCTTTCACATCCTCTGCAACAGGTGGAATCATGCTGTTCAATCTTAGGTCAACTGACAGGTGGAAAATGACATGTTGTTTTAATAGACAATTTCTGATTACTACCAAAAAAGAGTATATAGTCATGTATTATTTTCACCACATTTTAATCTCATAGAACATATGCTTCCTTGAGGTGATGAAGCCCGAATCAGTGTTGTAACAGGAAGTGAAATGCATTTGGTGTCTGCTTTGTGGCAGGGATCATGCTAAATTCTTTACAGGTGTTATTAATTAAATTCATTCTTCCATACGTGCTTATGATGTACGCATTATTATCTGCTTTTTCAGACCTGTAAATACACTTTAAACATGTTTAATGGCTTTTTAGTAGCAGTTTATCAGGCCACGAGGCTCTGAAAATTTCTTGATTTGGGATTTCCTCAAATGATGACTCAGTGTTTTAAAAGGTCAAATTAAGTTCATTCATAGCTCTGTATTCTCCCAACGTGTATTGAAACTTTCTTGTACTGTATGTCCCCCCTTTAGTCTTCCTAACTTGGAAGTCTGCTAAGTCCTCTTTTAAATGGGAAGTATCAGGACTCCTCAAGGTTTTTTTTTTTTTTTTGGGTTTGTTTGTTTTTTGGTGAGTAGAGGGTTTCTGGTGTCAATTTGGAATAACTTAAAGCAATTTTTATTTTGTGCACACATAGGATTGAAAGTGAAAACAGGGAAAAGTCCTTTGCTTCTGGGAAATAGACCAGAAAGAAAACAGATCCTTCAGTTTGTTCAGTGCAATGAGTTGGTAGCAGTGTTTGTGCATTTGTTTTTATGTCATGCTGCTTGAAATTTTTTCTAGAGACTTTTTCTTTTAAATGGGAATGAGGAAGCTACATTTTCTCACTTGCCCATTTACTTGGTTTGCAGCCTATGGAATCCTTATGTTTTTCTCATAGACAGTCACAGATCAAATTAATTCACAATTTAGTGTAATTACTTATAAAATCATAAATGTGTATATGCTTTTTTAAAATTTTATTTTATTAATATTACTTTTTTACATTCTATGTTGTTGTTGCAGAGCAGTTGGGAGGGAGGGGGAGAGGGGAAAGGGGAAGAAAATGTGATGGAAGGAGGAGGAAGGAGGAGGGGCGGGATTGAGGCCTGTGGCACCCCCCACATTTCCACAGGGGAGACCGGGAGGCTTCCACTGGTGGCTTGGTCATTGCTGGGCTGGGTGCAGATGTCAGGGGGGTGTGGCCAAAGCCCTTGCCTCCCACCTCCCCAGCTCAGGAACCCGGAGCCCTTCCTGCAGCAGCTTGGTGGTCATCTCTGGGCTGGTTGCTTGTGTTGGGCGGGGGCATGACTGAGGCCCAAGGTCCCCCACTGCCCTGGCTCAGGAAAGCCTGGGGCGCTTCCTATGGCAGCTTGGTGGTAATCACTGGGGTGGTTGCGCTTGTGGGGGGGGGGTGTTGACCAGTAGCTAAATGTGTATTTGCTTAATGGTTTTAAAGATTGTTCCAAATATTAACATCCCAAGAACAGACTCTGAATTTCAGGTGTGGAATGTTTTTGTAATGAGCTGCTTTTCACAGAAAGATCTCCATGCAGCATGATGTAGAGGGTGCAGCAGCAGGGATTCATTGACTGAGCTGGGGTCACTGAGTGTCATATAGAATGGAGGCAAGATCTGCAAGTTAGAAAAACAATCAACAGTATGCATGTGTGTACAGAGAGAAAAGTGCTCTGTGCTGAAGGGTGTGTGAAGATTAATTAGACACAGTTGCTACCCTAAATAGGACTTACTGTAGTAGGTAAGATTGATGTGCACCCAAATTGTAAAAGGAATGGACCAGAGAGAAGAAGAGAGGAGCTTGAATTCCAAAATAGGTAGCCCAAGATCGGAAATTGGAACATATGCAGCTTTTACCCTTGAGGAATTTATTTTGATGTCAGTTATGTAAAATGAATTGAATTTTAGTTTATCAAAAGATGTCCCCTCTTGAAAAATAAAAAAGAAAAAAAGTATTAAAAGAAAAGAAAAGGAAAAAGTGAAAAAAAAGAAATAAAGGGCCTGACAGTTGTTCTTACTGATACTTAAATTTGTTTTTTGACCACCTATTTTGGATTGTTTTGTTTTGTTTTGTTTAGTCTAGTAAACTCAGTACCATACTGTAAATTACTATCTTTTATATTTTAATACTGTAGTTAATTCTTTTCCAATACATTGTTTTGTCTTCTATTACCAACCAATTTTTCTGAGTGAAAATTAGGATCACTTTGTGAAGTTCCACCAGAACTGGAATTGTATTGGATATAGTGTGTAAACAAACTGACTGATAGCTACTATTTATAGTTAATTGCTGTCATTTTGGAGCATGATTTGTTACTCTATTTATTCAAAACCATTTTTAACCTCTCATTATTTGGTAGTTTTCCACATTTCTATTGAAATTAAAATTTCATGATTAGTTTATTAATGCATTATTTTTTTCCCTTTTAAATTGTGCCACAAATGCATAACATAAAATTTACCATCATAACCACTCTTAAGTGCACTATATTTACGTTGTTGCGCAACAGACTTGAGAACTTTTTCCTCTTGCGAAACTGAAACTCTATATTTATTGAACAATGACAATTTATTTCCTTTTCCCAACCCCGGTTCCTGGCAACACCATTTGATTTTTAAGAATTTGACTACTTTAGATACCTCATATAAATGGGATCTGTTTTATCTTTTGAGACTTGCTTATTTCACTTAGCATAAAGTCCTCAAGATTCATCTATGTTGTAGCATGTCCTTCTTTTTAAAAAAGCTAAATAATATCCCATATCTCATTGTTTATACTAGTTTATCTATTCATCTGTTGATGGATATTTGGGTTGCTTCCACTTCTTGTCTGTGGTGAATAATGCTCTAATGAACATGGTTGTAGAAATAACTCAGGTGCTAGATCATATGACAATTCTACTTTTAATTTTTTGAGGGACCTCTATACTGTTTTCCATAGGGAATGGAACATTACTATTGCCACCGACAGTGCATAAAGCCAGCAATTTCTCCACATTCCCTTCAAACTAGTTATTTTGTGTTTTTCTCATATTGGCTATAATAATATGTATCTTTCTCATATTGTCTGAGGTGATATCTCATAGGCTTTATTTGTGTTTCTCTAATGATCAATGATGTTGATCATCTTTTCATATGCTTGTAGGCCATTTGTACATCTTCTTTGGAGAATTGTCTATTCAAGTTCTTTGCCCATTTTTTATTGGGGTTTTGTTGTTGTTGTTGTTGTTGAGTTGTAGGGTTCTTTATGTATTCTGAATAATAGCCCCTTATCAGATACACGATTCACAAATATTTTCCCCTGTTCTGTTGGTTGTCTTTTC